CAAAAGCTGCTTCACAAAAACTCGGATTCTTGTTCCATTGAAAAATGTACTTTACATTTCAACAGCTTTTCATGATCTACATAGCTTAAAAATAGCCAGTATTGAAATACTGTTCTCATGTATGAGGTACAGCACCCACAAAGTACCACTTTAGTCCCTAGGTGTATGATGTAATATTGATCTCTCTAATATATGACAGAAAGGTGCTTGAAAGCATAAAATATATTTCGACAAAAAAATAATCAATCACCCTGTATATTGAAGTTTCGAATAGGAATTGGCAATGGATCTGCGATGGATATTCGGATTGTTTCGATGAAAAGAATATACCTATCGAGATAATATAATTATCCATATTCTGAAAATCTCTTGCTCAATCAAATTTTTAGAAAAAAAAATTGAATGAGGAAGTTTATCACCTTGTATATTACAGCTTCGAATGAAAATTGGCAATGAGAATTCGGATTAATTTGACGAACAAGGTGAATAGACCGAGAATATAATTATTCACATTCTGAAAAAATTGGCAATGATATATGGAGACATTCAAATCACTATCATTCATAAATTACTCACATATAATATGATAGATGTACCTATACCGTTTGATTTGAATATATTATTCATCTATCAAGTTGGGAAATATTGGAAATTTTATGAACAAAAATAAATTATGATTATAGCGAACTATCTATCGTAAAACGAATAATATTTCAAAATTCTGACAGTTTCAACGAGATATTTCGAGAATCCATAAGGACTATAGTAGGGGCTGCATTCAATATTTGAAACACCTCGTATAGTTCAAATAATTAGAAACAAAGATTCAAATTTCCAGTTGGAATAAAAAAAAAAGTTTGACTAAATGTGATATATTCGTAGTACCAATCGATTTGTAACATTGATCATATTCGACGAAGTGACGTCACAGTCTTCATTATAATTACGGAAAAACTTATTATTGAATAACAACGAGTAGTGTTATTAAAAAATGATATTTGCCTGGTACTTAGTTTGCATCTGAAATGGGTTTCCAGTTTTTTTATAGCCGAAATGATGATGGTTACTTTACGACAATGAACTTTGCTTGAACAAAATACGATATATAAAGTCACAATAACAACTAGTGAGCAAATTAAAGCGACAGATGAAAATCGATTAATAAGAATATTAATAATGACTTTGTATACCGAGACAAATGTTGTATTAATATACTATCATACTGCGATAAAAAATAATTGACTACTTATTTAAACTTCAATGATTCATCAAAGCTCGCAAATGAAACAAATAATCCTACTCTGGGTGTAAAACCGAAATGAACTAACACATTCTCGCCGTGAAAAAAATGTTGGGTAGATTGAATTTTGAACTTTGTCTGAAAATTTCTGAACCGACCTCAGTAACAATGGTGATCCAGATCATGATTGTCATCGGCAAATGAAAATCTTGGTGTGTTATGACAAGTAACTGTAAAACATAAATAAAAAAATAGTCAAACACGCCACACCAATTGGAAGACGTTGATCGCCATGGAACAAATGCAGCTCAAGAAGCTGAAGGCCAATTATTACCAAGAAAATCTGGGGAACAATATAAAAAACAGTTTATCTGCAAAGAACGGAACGTAGAAAAATGTACAGAAAAAAAGGCACTGTTAGCATATTTCTTGGAAAAGTCAATTAAGCTTTTAGCATCGTCATTGTGGAGCGTATCTATTCGATGATGAAAGCCACAATTGCAACAGACATTTTGAAAATACATTTCTAATTTTGCTTCCATTGCAAAGACATTCACTTTGATTCCTCGGGGATTTAAAGGGTAAAACTGCATTTAGCATTCAATGGTTTTTTTTTCGGAAATTTTTTTTGTTACTTACGTAATTTTGTCTGAAAAAGACGAATTTGGCAATGATAATGTGAACAAATCACTATAAAAAAATGTGTTGAGAAAAATGGATTTGTGATGGGTAGGATAATTTTGCACTTATCTTGCGATGGTTTTTTTTTTTCGAAAATGTTTTTTGGTACTTACTTATATTTGTCTCAAAAACACGAATTTGATAATGAAAATGTAAACAAACCACTATTTAACACGAATTTGATGATGAAAATGTGAACAAACCAAAATTTATCGAGATATTTCATGAAGAAGTTCGAAATTTCGCCTTCTTTTTCCCCTGCTCTTCTTATTTTGTCATTGGACACTTCATATAGTCAAGATGTATCTATTTTGATGACACATTTTTATATAGAAAATTCAACGCAAAATATGATTTTTATGGCAAGTTTTTCATATTTTCTAGTGAAAAATCGTACCAGATGATAGCCATTTAATTGTGAATGAATAGTCAATTCAAATACGAGATGTCAAATGTCAATTGATTGCTTTTGAATGACATTACACACGCCATTATTTTAAATGATATTATTCTTCCTACTTTTCACTAAATATGGAAAAATCGCAAGAAAATAATATTTCTAGTTGACTCAATAATATAAAAAAATGTGTCTCACATTGTGATATATATAAATTGTCCAATGATGAAAAAAGAAGGGTAAATTGTTTTAAATTCAATCAAGAAGACAGGCGGAAAAGAGGGTAAAATTTGTAACTTTATAGTGAAATATCTCAATAAATAATGGTTTGTTAACATTTTCATTATCAAATTCGTGTTTTTCAGACAAAAATACGTAAGTACCAAAAAAAAATTTCGAAAAAAAACCATCGCATGCTAAATGCAGTTTTACCATTTAAAGTACCACTTTTTCCCCCGAAAATAGGGAATAAAGGTAGGTACCCTTTAGCATCGTTGCCGTACTTATTTTACCTAACCTGCTTATATTCAAAATTATTCAATTATTCTAGGTTCGTACTTCATTTTCGTATGAAATTTCTCCAGGAATTCAAGAGACAGGGTATTGCATGAAAATAAGAAATGAAAATTCAAATTCAACGCGCTGTGGGTAAACAGATCGTTTTGGTAGGTATGCAGGTAAATTTGGTTCAATTATCCCATTTTGTACAGACCTTTCAGGGACACCCTGTATAAAAAAATCATAAACAAATTCAAAAACGTTTACTATAGTTTATGAATATGAATAGGCTATAATTACTTCAACTTATGACTAATTTCATGATATACCTCAATCATTATCAGTTTTGCGACTCGTCATAATTTCCTTATCCTTGATTTTTTTCTCTGATGCAATTGATTTCTAGCAGAGTGCAAAGTGCAGTCATGAATACCGGATGAATAAAAATGGCGTTGGCTTTATGCTAATAACTTGATAAAAATAATATTATTTGTTCTTCTCAGATAATGATTCTCAACTTTTCCATTCTATATGATTTGAGAAACAAATTTAAGCAATTATGATATGGGTACGTATCACAACGAAAAATACTTAATACTTAGTTTATACAGGATGACCCCTATAAAGTGTAACTTTGCATCATGCGATGGTTTTTTTTTTCGAAAATGTTTTTTGGTATACGAATTTGATAATGGAAATGTGAACAAACCACTATTTATCGAGATATTTCACGAAGAAATTCAAAAATTTTACCTTCTTTTTCCGCCTGTCTTCGGATACGCATTTACTGATTTACGCAGCTATACTTGATCATATTCTGTCAGTGGTCACACTTTATATACTCATGATATACTTATATAGGAAAATCAACAAGAAATATGATTTTTTTGGGGGTTTTTCATGTTTACTGAACAATCATAGCCAGCTGACAGCCATTCAATTTTAAATGTCAAATAATTGTCAAATATCAACAGATTTTGGAAGGACATAAACTTTTAGACAATTTGAATAAATTCATATAATTTATTTTGGCAAAACTGCACCTTTTTTTTTATATCGCTTGGAGCGCACGAAAGGGTATCCCTATAATGTTCAAAGAACATCGTGCGTTCCTAGGGAGGATAGGGATAGGAGGTAGTTATTGGAATTTTTTTTGAACTTCTGGAGATTATCATGCGATGGGTTTTTTTTCGAAATTTTTTTTTTGTACTTACGTATTTTTGTCGAAAAAACGCGAATTTGATAATGGAAATGTGAACAAACTATTATTTATTAAGATATTTCACTACCTATAAAGTTACAAATTTCACCTTCTTTTCCACCTGTCTTCTGGATCGCATTTAGAACAATTGGCCCTTCTTTTTCCATCATTGGACAATTTATGTATATCAGAATGTACGACACATTTTTTTCTATTATACGAGTCAACTAGAAATATGATTTTCTTGCGATTTTTCCATATTTAGTGAAAAGAAGGAAGAATATCATTTAAAATAATGGCGTGTGTAATGTCATTCAAAAGCAATCTCTTGTTATTTGACGTCTCGTGTTTGAATTGACTATTGATTATAAATGGCTATCATCTGGTACGATTTTTCACTAGAAAATATGAAAAACTTGCCATAAAAATCATATTTTGCGTTGAATTTTCCATATCAAACTGTGCATCAAAATACATCTTGACTTTATAAAGTGTCCAATGGCAATATAATAAGAAGAGCAGGCGAAAAGGAAGGCGAAATTTCGAACTTTTTCATGAAATATCTCGATAAATAGTGGTTTGTTCACATTTTTATCATCAAATTCGTGTTAAATAGTGGTTTATTTACATTTTCATTATCAAATTCGTGTTTTTGAGACAAATATAAGTAAGTACCGAAAAACATTTTCGAAAAAAAAACCATAAGTGCAAAATTACCCTACCCACAAATCCATTTTTCTCAACACCCTGTTTGTGTAGAGATATTGATTAAAAATATAATTATGTCTATAATTCGATATAATATATTATCAAAAAGGTTTTTCCCAAATATATACTAATGATACATCGTTGAGTTCAGAAAAATAACTGATTGACGAGCTGATTGAACGATTAGGAAAACAAGGATTTTCATGCTTCTAACCTCGAAAATTTGTGCAATGTCATTCTGATACCTGATTTTCAATATGGTATGTTTTACTCACGATGTTCTGGTATTTCACAACAAACTATCTCCGACTTGATATAAACTTCACTTTTTGCTTTATTTTTCACCTTGCGCGGCATTTTCAATCTGAAGATTCACAAAATATTATTGCTGCACAAACTGTCAATTCAATATTTTCTCCTGTTCGATTACCGGCGTTAACGTGGAAGGATGTTTAATGAATAGAGAATTGGCTCAAATCATTGTATGGAAATTTGGACAATAATAGCAATATCCATCGACATGGATACATGATGACATTTAAAACAATGACAGATTTTTAGTCATCGTCCAGAATAGAATTGGCTTCCATACATTGACTTTTGTTCTTGATAGGTGAAGGTGGATTCATAAAACCTTCAATATATATAATAATTATATCACTACCTTATAATTATAAAAGATAAGAGAGGCCCATATGTGACTTGTTAGTGGGTAAGTAGGTATAAGTGTGAAGTTAATGTATTTATGAATAATAGTCATAGTTCCCCTATAGTACAGCAGATTAGCTAAACTATTGTGCACTTTTTGATGAAGGCACCAAATGTAGCACACAGGTAGACCGATATAATATTTTTTTTAAGTTCTGGTTCCCACGAAAAGGGATATCCTGTGATGTTCAGAGAACATCGTGAGAACCATGGAAAATAAGGTCTTCTTAAATTTCTTTAGGTTATATGCCTCGGGGAACACCTCCCTTGGCAATGTTTTCCAGAGCTTCGCTGTTCGTTGGATGAACGAGTCTTTGGAAATATGTTCTGCAGGTCTCCAAAGTGACCACGAAGGGATGCGAAGCCTCAAGTCGACGGGTGAATCTCGCGGGGACTGCCAAGGGAAGAACAATTGTTGATATTTCAGAAGAGCATCGTCCATGAAAATATCCATAAAATAGAGCCAGATCGCCAAAATTTTCTACGGTGTTCCATAGAAGTGAGTGAGTTTGTGAGCGAGGCATCACCCACGAGACGAATTGCCCTTTTTTGGACAGAATCCAACAGTTTCAGGGTATGTTTGGGTGCTGCACTCCAAATATGGAAACAGTATTCCAGGACAGGTCGGATCTGTGCTCTATAGATCATAAGCAGCTGACTGGAAGTGAAATAGCTCCTGGCCCGAAACAGAAAACCAAGTTTTTGGGATGCACTTTTAGCAATTGATCTCACGTGATTTTTCCAAGAAAGGTTATTGCTGATAGTAATACTAAGCATCGAATTGGATGTCTTCAAAGGTAAGGTTACTCCTGACAAGCTTATGTTGGGCACAGTTTTAGATCGGCTTTTCTAGAAAAAAAGCATGCTTGTGTTTTGTTTGCATTGAAATCTACCAAATTATTGGGTCCCCATTCGAGAATTGTTGCCAAGTCCATATTTATGTTGTCAACATTTCTTCCTCGTTCCTTTCTGATTTGCCTGGCTGCTATTGTAGCCCTGGAAGAGAAGGCGGTATGGAGGGTACTATCATCCGCGTAGCTGTGTACTGGACATGAAGTTGCTTCCAACAAATTGTTGATACGGAGTTGAAATAGTGTTGGTGGTAGAATCGATCCTTGCGGAACACCAGCATTTATGATAAGAGAGTCAGATGAAACTCCGTCGACCACTACATGGAGAGATCTGTTTGAGAGAAGACTAGCTAGCAGAGAACATAGATGGGGAGGCAAGCCATAAGATGGAAGCTTGGCGAGGAGTTCGTGGTGCCAGACTCGATCGAATGCCTTGGACTCCTTGGAGATATCAAGTGCCACGGCATATTCGTGATAAATAAATGGATCGTGTAAAATGCAATGATATAATGATGTTCTATGAGTCTATTTGTTATCAGATTTTATCTGTGACGATCCATCTTACAGTGAACATTTGCCACTCCCTTGCCCAAAAGAAGGTATACTTATATCTTTCGTTGAAATCAATCAATTTTTGATGGAATAATTCTGCTCTTGAAAGATAGCATACCAACTAATCCGAGAACTAATCCCAAAGATTTGCATCATATACAGTGTGTCCTGCTTTTCATGAATACACCCTGATATCTCAATCATCAATGCTGCGATTCTCTTGAAATTTTTGTATTGATTGTTATGTTAGAATAAGAAAGTATTTAGCAGAATGAACAGTTTCATTCACCATTGGCGTGCGATGTTGAGGGGTACAAAAAGGCCTTTATTTGAGAAAAGCATATTAGGACTCATTTCAAATAACTTTTTTATCAGATTCATAATCTGCATCCCCAAAAACCCCCCAATTTATATTTCCAAGATTCCAAGAGCTAAAATAAAATATTTCAAAAGCCCGCTTTTCATGACAACTCCCTTATCTCGCAGTTATCAACGATGCGATTTTCTTGAAATTTTGATGGTGATTTTATATAAAAAAATAACATACAATAACCATCACAGTTTCGAGAAAATCGCATCATTAATAAATGAGATTATTTTGGGGCGCAGTCATGAAAAGCGAGCAAAATTTGAATTTTTCTTGAGATTTTGAAAAGATGAATTGGAGGGTTTTTAGGAATGCTGATTCTAAATCTGATAAAAATATTTATTTAAAATTACCCCTAATATCCTTTTTCCTCAACATTGCACGCCAATTGTGAATGAAACTGTTCACTCTGCTGAATACTTCATTTTTCCAACATACAATCACCACTAAAATTTCAAGATAATAGAGTCATTAATGACTGAGATATCAGGGTGTATTCATGAAAAGATGGACACACTGTATATATCATGAAGGCATTAATTCTGGTTTTCAAGATTATTACGAAATATATGATCGCAACAATTTGTTATAGTTAACATGATTGATAAAAACGATGCATATCTCTAATGTATCATGTAATCCTAACAAATCTCTATAAATAAAAATAGATTAATTGATAAGTAAATACTACCCTGTAGCCTCTGAAAAAATGTAACTATCAGTTACTGATTGTGATGTTTTATACGATTCTGAACAATGAAAAAAAAAACGAATAAACCTATTTTTTTTTCATGTTCTGGTTCTCACGAAAAGGGATATCCTGTAATGTTCAGGGAACATCGTGAGAACCAAGGGAAATAAGGTAGGAATTGGTGTTCTTGAATTTCTGGAGGTTATATGCCTCGGGGAACACCTCCCATGACAATGTGTTCCAGAGTCTCGCTGTTCGTTGGATGGACGAGTGTTTGGAAAGAGATGTTCTGCAGGTCTCCAAAGTGACCACGAGGAGGTGCGAAGCCTCAACTCGACTGGTTGATCCGTTTAATCTCGCGGGGACTGCCAAGGGAGGAACAATTATTGTTGATATTCCAGAAGAGCATCGTTCATGAAAATATCTAAAAAATAGAGCCAGATCGCCAACTTTTCTACGGTGTTGAATTCGCTGATTCGGTAATTGTGACATTAATAGTTTGAATTAATTTCAATGGTATTTTCACGAATTCCATCCATGGTTGAATTCAGTGGATTCAAAGAAAGCTAAATAATGTTTAATTCGAAGAGAAAATAATACTTTGGTTCTAGCTCGGGTTTAAGTTCAAATCAATGTTGCTAAAGAGCACTTCTGGTGCCCATAACAGCTAAAGTTGAAGTCTTAACTCCTAGGCACTAGGGAAAAAATTATTTCCGTTAGCATTCTTCATTGGGATTAAAAATGACATATATTTGAATCGCAAAAATTCATTTTGATAAACGAAATGTCCCTTCTGATCGTAATCGAAACAAAGTACTATTCTTTATATTACATAAAAAATGTACCTACAATATATTTAGATGAAATGGTCTCATCTTTGACCGAAAAAAATTATTTGGACTTTGGAGCTCTTGAACTTTTTTGTAGATCCAAAAATCCCCTCTTCGAATTTCCAAAAAGGAGAATTCACCAATGATACAAAAAATAATGATTATAGGTACCAAGGTACTTAGGTAATTATATATGGCTGCAACGAGCACATGTGGATATATATTAAATCAATATATATTTTAGGTAAAAACAAGCTGCTTCACAAAAACTTGGATACTTTGCACCTCAACAGCTTCTCTTGATCTACAAAGCACATATACGGCCAGTTTTAGAATACTGTTCTCACGTATGGGGTTCAGCAGCCAAACATACGCTGATGCTCTTAGATCCCATCCAGAGAAGAGCCATTCGCCTGGTGGGTGATGCCACACTCACTTGTTCTTTGACCTCATTAGAACACCGTAGAAAAGTTGGAGACCTTCCACTTTCCTATACAGGGTGAGTCAATAGTGTGTTCTCCTTCGATAGTGGCCAAACCGAGATATATTGAAAAAGACGAGGAAAAAGATTAAATACAATAACAGTTAAATGTTTCTATGAGGACTATATCACCTACAATTATTTTCTTATCTATTGGGTGTTCGAATTCCAAGATGTTTTTTAAATAGGACACCCTATATATTATTGCATTTTTAGGTTCTCCCTAAAGAGCCGATCTGATCAATGCATCTCACTTGGAGTCTAACGGGAAATGATTACAGAGATATAGGGTGTTCAGAATCGAGATTTATCAACTTTGGGTTTTTTTGTGTCGAAAGTATTCAATTTTACGGCTTCCATATCCCTATCTTAACTTTTGATATGATATCTACTGACATTCAATTAGGATATATACAGGGTGATCAGAATTCTTGAATCTTGAACCACCCTGTATTTGTTCCAATTGAATGTCAGTAGCTAGTAAATCAAAAGTAAAGATAGGGACATGTAAGTCGTCGACACAAAAATCCTAAAGTTGAGAAATCTCGATTTTGAACACCTTATATATCTGTAATCATTCCTGCTAGACCCAAGTGGGTATTTATGAAATCAGCTTTGCATAAGAATGCAAAATATATAGGGTGTCCCATTAAAAAAAAATTCATCAGCCGATAACTTGGAATTCGAACACCCTATAGATTTGAAAATAATTTTAGGAGATAGTTCTCATGAAACCCAATAACTGTTGTATTTGATTTTTTTCTATATTCTGACCGGTTTGGCCCATATCGAAGGAGAACACACTATTGACTCACCCTGTATATACTTCCACGGGAAATGTTCCTCAGAAATCTCTGCTATCATTCCATCACTAGCAATACCAGTCAGACAAACTCGACAAGCCCAGTCAGCACATCCTTGATATATGTGTCCATATGTCGAACAACACTTTACCATCACTCGTTCGTCTGTAGAACGGTA